CATTTTTCATCGAAAACATTTTTTGCTTTAAGAAAATATTGTCCATATTCATAAAACAACTAAAAGCAAATAAAAGCATTTGAAATTAAATATATTTGTTTTGAGTTTTCTATGTTACAATTCAGAGCTGATTTTCAGGTAGTGTGCTTTTAACTATTGTAATTACTAAACCTGATGTGATCGAATTTCTAGCGTTTTCATAAAATCAGTTATGGGTGGGGTAATAAATTAAAAAAAAAATTTCTTCCATGACTTTAATAAAAAAAATATATAATAATTTCGATCAGTCTTGTTTTAATCGTAGTATGTCAGTCGAACGGCTTCTCCTCCAGCTCCTATCCCCCCGAACGCAGGTGTCCCCAAAGGCTCTATCCTAGGCCCTACTCTGTTCCTTATCTTCATTAACGATCTTCCTGATGTCATAGGTTCCCAAGTAAGCATCTATGCGGACGACACTACTATTTACTCCTGCCTCAAAAACAAATCTAGTGTCGCCGACAAATCTCACCTGGCCGTTTGTCTCGAAAAGGACCTCCAAATCGGTTGCGGACTGGGGCAGGAATTGGCTGGTTAACTTTAATACCTCAAACAAAACTGCTCTCTATAACTCACCACAGAGCACCATCCCTGCCTCCCATTAGAATGTCTGACGCTCAACTCAATTGAGAGCACCCTTTTGCGGCTGCTCGGTCTCACATTGTCCGCTGACCTGAGATGGAACGAATACATTGGTGTCAATAGCTTCGTCCACCGCAAGGAAAGTTGGCTCCCTGTGCCGCGCCAGGAAATTTTTCTCGCCAGAGTCAATCCTTCAAATCTACAAGTCAACCATTCGCCCTTGCATGGAGTATTGCTGCCATATAAGGTCTGGTGCCCCTTCTGTTTGTCTTAAGTTCCTTGATAAAATTCAGACGGATATGCAATGTAATTGGCCTGATCTGGCATTAAGCCTGCAGCCGCTCTCACACAGACGTGCCGTTGCCTCCCTCTGTCTTTTTTACAAATACTTTCATGGCAATTGCTCCGATGTGCTGCTTTCGCTGGTTCCCACACTTCATGAATTTAAACGTTCAATTAGGTTGGCATCTCGCTCTCACCCTTTCACTGTCGAAACTGTTAAATGTATCCGTCTCTTCTACTCCAATAGCTTCATGTCTCACACTTCTCGCCTGTGGAACTCTCCTTCCCCATTTCTTGTTTTGCTGATAGCTATAATCTTCAACTATTCAAATGTAATGTCAATTGTGATCTATCCCTTAACCATCTCTTCATCCTTTCCTCTATCACTCCTATTTGCTCTCGCTCCAACTCTCTGTAACCTTTTGCATGCTAGTGGCTTCCTGCCTTGCTTGGGGTGAAATGCTAAAAAAAAAAAAATATTTTATTTAATTATAAATTTTATATATTTATATATTCAAAAACCCTGTCCACATAGGAAACGTTCGATTCATTTATATATATCATATTTTATATTGGGAAAAATTAAATTTCATAAATAAAAATAAAAAAAAAAAAAAAAAAAAAAAAAATTTAACATTTTTAGTTTTAATTTTTATTATTTTTTTTTTTTTTTTTTTTTAATTATGAAATGTGTTTTTGGGAAAAAGGGTTAAAATGGGAAATATCTTCCTGTAAATTTTTTTTTCTTAATTTTTTTTTTATTTCTCCCAAACCCTGTTCTACCATAAAAAAAAAAGCTCATAAAATATCTTCATTCAATTATTTATATATGTCCTGTGAGTATCCAAGGTTCTCCACGCATCTCCTTAAACATTGAATGATTTTACAGACATTTCAACAGATTTTTTTAAAAAAAATATAGATTTTTTTTTTTTTTTTTTTTTTTTTTCAGTTTTCATTAACCTTTTTTTTTATAAATATTCGGTCTGGCACCCCAGCATCTTTCTGTAGAATCAAATTCTATATTTTTCATTTTTTAATATATCTTCATCTTTGAGAACAGATGTTGGAAATGAACATTTCAGTATTTTCTTTACTTTGTTTCTATTTAAAAAGCTTTTCTGTTAATTTTCTTTAGCTTTATCAATGCATTTAAAAGCCATCCCAATTCGTCTTCGGATCTCAATGTTTTGTGATTTCCGTTTTTTAACTTACAAAAGGTATGATTGATTTTCGTATCCTTAACCTGTATTTTGGGCTCATCCTTTTGCTGATAACCATGCATTCTGTCGTCTTGTAGTTAGTTTTTTTAGAAACTTTCCTCCACTACTGATAAAAAAAGGAATTTTTTTTCCACCTTCAAATATTTAAGGATACTTATGTTTGACTTAAATATTTAAGCAATTGAAATTATTTTTTAAAATAAAAAAAACAAATTAACATATTTACAAAGCATAATAAAATAGTTATATAAATTTGCCAACATGGTTCAATTTTAAAAAACATAAAAATAACAAATTTCCCACATTTTAATACATTTATTTCATTATAATTTTTGTTCAAATTTCAAAACTTGGTCATTTTTAATCGATTCTGAAAAAGTTTATTTTACAGAAAAACTGAAAAATTTAAATCTTTTGGATGTACTATCAAAAATAGTATCAGAATATTCCTGATGAAATTTTTTTAGTTAAAATCAATCAAGGTAGAGTTGAGGCTTTAAAATCCGTTCATACAAAAGAACCATATTATTTTTTTTTACCATTTTCACAAAATATCAAATCCATCGCAGGGGGTTTTGGGATTGAAATAAACTTTAATTTTATTGAAAATGAAAAAGACAAAAAAAAATTGAGGGAAACAAAAAAAGATGATTGATTTTAGGTATTAAATAAATTTATTTGAAGATATACTTTTTAATAAAATTCACTGATATTTTTGAATAATTTTTTCTTATATTTAAAAACTTATTTTCATTTTCACATTTAAATTTTTATCCTACCTCCCCTAATAAACTTGAGTTTAGGGAACATACTAGATTTATTTTATAGCAACTTTTTTTTTTTGAAACAAATTATTTAAATAGGTGGAGGGAGCAAATCGAAAAAAACGGAAGAGTTCCACACGCTAGGAGTGCTAAAATTAAAAATAAATATTAAACTTTTAGAATATGACTTAGTTACATCAAGCTATTAAAACAGTAAAACCAACAGTAAAATCCAATTTTATTAATTGCCAAGAAATATTTTATATTTATTAAATAAATTACCAAAAGAACAAGTGCAGTGAAAATTAAAAATTTTAAAAATGCGTCATGGTAATTTTTTTTAAAAGTTGAGATGCCAGGTTTTAAGTACTGATCATTTCATCACAAAATTTTATGGACAACTGACTAAGACGTTAAACGATATTGCGTCCTGGGTAAGAAATAAACTGTTTCAATTTCAAGGTCTCTGATCAGGAAGGTTTGATTTGTTGATTTCTTTTTTTGCTGGTGTTTTTTTTTCCAAAAAAAATTTTACTTTAGTTGACCTGTTAATTCTTTAAATTTTTATGGGCAAATAGTTAACTATTACCAGCAATACTTTCAAAAAAAAAAATTATTACAAGCAATACAATTTTGAAGGAAAAATATTACCAGAAACAGATTTTGACAAAACAAAATATTACCAGCAACAAAAAATGTTGTCAGCATTAAATCACCCATTGAGGTTGCTATGCCGTAAAACAAAATAAGCCAAACCAATCTAAACCAAAGAATACATATTCTATTCATATTAATTTAAAAAAAAAATGTTGTTGGTATTAAATAACCCATGGAAAAAAATAAAATTTAAAAAAAAAAATAAGCCAAACCAATTAAACCAAAAAGAATACATATTCTATTCATATTAATCTATCCTAAAAATGTTGTTCCAAATTAAATATCCTATCAGGTTGATATGCCATAAAAAAAAAAAAAAAAACCAAAGAATAGATATTCTATTTTTTTGAATATTTAAAAAATTTTGACGGCATTATAAAACCTTTCTTGAGGTAAAACAAAATAAACCAAACCTTTCTTTATATTTTGTCGAGAATCGCTAGATATGTGACAGGACCACGAGATTACTTGTGGTTGCGATATTTAATGCACGACCAGGTCGTAGATTTATAGATATACACGATGGATTCTGGTAAGAATAAATTGTCTGACACTACACGGTGGACCAACTTTGCTGGCAGCTGACCTAACAATTGATTTTTATAAACATTTTAATTTCATGTCAGTGGAAAAATTAAAAAAATTTTTTGCTCAGAGTTATCAAAATACGGATGGAAGGCAAAAATCCTTTTATCTGTTAATGTTCCTTAATAAGAACAGTTAATTTTTAAATTTTATATAATATTCAAAACTCCTTCTTTTAAGTCTCATATTTCAGTAAAAATGCGTTTGTTTGTATTTCTGTCCGGACTGGATTTTTGTGAATAACGCAATTTGCCTTCAGTCCGAAATACGCAAATTGATTTTTTTTTTTTCTTTTTAATGATTTTTTTTTTTTTGTCCTTTGCAAGTAATGTGACAATAGAACAAAAAGGTTTTTAAAAGACGGTATTCCTATCAAAGGAATTTTTAATACTTTATTTCATAGTAATATTTTGTTTTAAAAATGTAAAAATAATGTAAAATTTTGTGTGGGTATCTTATTTTATCGTTGTAATCGTAATGTGATCATGATAGCCTACCATACAACTAAAAATGTGCCATCTGTCAGTAATTGATACCAGATAAATACTTAATAGAATGTGTTGGTTTGTCAATTTCCGTGTTGTGAGTTCAATACCTTGCCACAGCAGAGAGAATAATTTTTGGAGAGTTGTTACTAAATGGAATTATCTGAAACGGATATCCAGAAAAAGCATGGCACATGGAATTAGAACAGACTAACACCGTGGACTAAAAGGATTTGGATCGAAATTCCAGCATGTATCACCTGAAGAAAGGCAGTCAACGACAGAAACGTCGTGAATAGGGCAATAAAGATACTGTAAGAAAAAAAAATTACTAGTTTCACCAACATCAGTTAAAAATATGAATTTGACTTGCATAATGTCGGCTTATGGCCATACTATGTGCCTTTGATAAAGATCTCTTTTTTGACAAATTTTTTTTTAAAAAAAATTTTTTCATCTTGTACATCTCTCTATATACGGCCTCCTCAAATATTTTTCCTCTCTCTCTCAGATGCCTCCCTCTCTCTCTCTCTCTCTCTATTTCTCTCTGCTCTCTCTCTCTCTCTCTCTCTCCCTCTATCTCTCTCTCTCTCTTGAATTCGCTATCTCTCTCTGCAAATAAGTTCTCTCTCTCTCTCTGCCTCCCCACCTTCTCTCTCTCTGCTCTCCCCTGTTTCTCTCTCTCTGCCTTTTTCTCTCTCTCTCTGCCTCTCTCTCTCTCTCTATTTCCCTCTCTCTCTCTCTCTGCCTTCTACTCTCTCTCTCTGTGCCTCCCTCGCTCTCTCTCTCTGTGCCTCCCTCGCTCTCTCTCTCTATGCCTCCCTCGCTCTCTCTCTCTTTGCCTCCCTTTCTCTCTCCCTCCCTCGCTCTCTCTCTCTCTCTCTGCCTCCCTCGCTCTCTCTCTCTCTCTCTGCCTCCCTCGCTCTCTCTCTCTGTCTCGCTTTTGCTTCATACGCATATGTATGGGTTCAACCTGATGATCCCTTGTGGTGAAACAAAGGTATATAGTATCCGTCTCAGGATTTATTTAATATATGAGGATCGAACAAGAGATGTAACCTCCTCATTCAAGAGACCTATTTCGCCTGAACTTTTAAAACTTTACTGAAAGGCAAGAAATATTGATATCTCTCTCCTTTTATTTTGTCGTCAGACTGCCCACTTCAGCAAACTGCTAACATTATGCATAGCATTCACAGTCTAGCTGTGTCTCACGTTTCCAGATGTAATGGTTATGTCTAACACTGACGTGTCATTTTGAACACACCTTTGCGAAGTAACTTTATTGAATATATGTAAATACAATGCGAGCTCAGTTTCTTCACAGTATTTCTCATTCATTACTTTTAATGTTTAGACCATTTACTGCTGACTAGTGACTATCGATTTGTCTCCATACTAGTAGCCTTGTGTCAACTAAAGTAAAAATGTCGCAAGTAATCATAACGATAGTTATACAATTTTATATTTGATAATGGCGCAAACATTAAGTATTGCGTAGAATTAAAGTAAGCAAGAGAAAAATTTGTCTCTGAATTCAATCCTCACTGAGAACTAAACTCGGTTTAATGTAAACGGCAAAAACGCCACGATTTGAAGTTACGTTACATATCCGTGTGATATCTTTAACATTAGCTCATTTCCGAGCCACGCAATCTGCACACGTTTGTTTTTCAACACAGAACCAACCTGTGGTTTATACTGCAACTATACTGAGCGGACTGTCGTTCCAGTAACCGCCCCTCCCAACTCGCTGTCGTTCCAGTAAACACACTCCCCGCGACCAACTCGCTGTCGTTCCAGTAAAGGCGCTCCCCCCGCGACCAACTCGCTGTCGTTCCAGTAAAGGCGCCCCCGCGACCAACTCGCTGTCGTTCCAGTAAAGGCGCCCCCCCGCGACCAACTCGCTGTCGTTCCAGTAAAGGCGCCCCCGCGACCAACTCGCTGTCGTTCCAGTAAAGGCGCTCCCCCGCGACCAACTCGCTGTCGTTCCAGTAAACGCCCCCCCGCGACCAACTTGCTGTCGTTCCAGTTCGATTATAGACACCCCATATATATTGTTCCATCTTGAGTGTCCCCATTCCGGCGTTCGGTGTGCGCCGAGGGTGAATCCCCCTCTCTGCCAGTTGGATTCACGTCCCCTCTCTAGAACATTTGTAAAAAAGTGTATGCAATGATTTCGGCTGAAATTCGAAATTTGCAGACCGATTGTTAGTTCAAGCCTCTAACCATTGCACCATCTTACAATAAATGACTCGGTCATGGTCAGTGCGCTGGTAAACTATTGTAGACATTCATGGCCTTGTGCCAAACTTGACATTCTCTAAATAAATGAAATTGAAAAACTATTTTAAGTCTAAGTTAAACGTGTATCAAACAATGGTACAGACATGAAATATCCTATAATCGTGTGAGCAAGGGAGAGACGCAGCCACAATTTATAATCATTGGAAACTATCTGACGAAAGTTGAGCTGACAGACATTTTGATTACGGCTATTAGATGACAGGTTTAAAATAAATGCTTCACAAAGATGCACAAATTACTGTAGGAGATGAGAGAGAAGACTTCACACCGACAGTAAATAAATATCACTCTCTTCATTCCTGCTGTCTTTAGACTGCGTAGGCAGGTGTGTTGAGGTGTGTGGAGTGGGGTCACTGTAAGAGATTAAAACAAAAGTGGGTTACATGAATGAGTCTCTGTATAAATTTAAGCAAGCTTGAAAAATTTATTAGGATGTTTAAATGTGTATGTTTATTGAATGACTTGCATGTATGTGGTTATTTACTAACAGAGAATCACTGGTACCATGTATACAAGTACTACCCGTCGTATAGTCGGGTTACCGACGACTGAACCGGTTCCCCAACATGATTTTCTAGCGAGGCGGGTGGCTGGACACACTAGGATTGAAAGAGCTGTCAACGGATGACGGTCTACTAACACAGTCGAGGAGATGTATTAATACTTGGGTTGGTGTCCAAGCACGCTGTAAAATACACTGGGGGTGCTGGACACCTTAGCCTTCATAAAATTGACTGACTTGGAAAGGAAAAACTGGAAAACCTGCACCCTTTATACGATTCAACGATGACGAAAGGTTTCTTTACTGAGTGTAAAATTGACCAATGCAATGTCTTCCAATTAAAAGAAAAAAAGGCATTTCTTGATGTCGTAAGTCACAATTCAGTCTTGCTATATCTTACGATGGTCATAAACTAGCTGGCAATCATATATAGTAATTTTCCAAGCAAAGCTCAGATGTGGCACAAGGCCGAAAGTATGGGGTACCAGTGAGGAACGAATTCACTAAGTCGTAATTGTTCTAGCGAGACAAGCATGCTAACCATTACACCACCTTGAGGTGCCCGGATGGTCATAAACGAGCTGGTAAAACGATGGTAAAACGGATGGTCATAAACGAGCTGGTAAAAACCGTTCCAACCCATTAAAACATATCACTTATATAATACGAAAGATGGTCAACGTGTGCTTATGTCAATTCAATATAGCAGTTTAAAATTTGAGGCAAAAAAGCCAGCAAAATGATATTGGCAATAAGATTAATATTATATATTAGCCTTTTAATTGAAGCACGAACAAAAAGCTTTAAAGTTACCAATGTCCTTTTTCAACGAGATGAGGAATAAGTCACACTTCAAAGGAATGTTGTTGGTTAGAGGCCTCCTTATGCCAACTATAATATTGGATTAAACCTAAATCCCTGTTTTAATCCATTGTGATTTTATTTAGAAAATATTTTACCACCAATCTGCGTTTTTATTGTCGGCTGTTAAAGACGCTAAAAGGGCGTATCAGATGTCATCGATAGCATGGTTGGTTGGAGCAGCCTTTTGGCGAATATCTTTTCTTTTTTTTTGCCAAAGATCTTTGTCAATAATATTTGCAAAAAGAAATCTCAAAACAAATTTCATAAAACGAAAATGTCAGGCAAGTTAAAATATCTGAGAAACTGACCTACTTGTAACCACGGTTTCTGTCAAAATGACTTCGTCAGGTAACAAGTCATTTTGGCAGAAACAGTGATAGCAAGAAGGTTAGTATTGTTGTATACCTAAAATGGATTATTTATTTATCAATCCGACAAATGTATTACTTAAATGCTTTCATAGTAGATATTTATTTATGAAGCATTTATATTTATTTTCTGTTCGTTTACCGGAATTGAATATTCGACAAATATTATTAAACATGCGATCTCAGGTAGGATTCGAACCTACATTCCTTTCAGAAAATTGTCATATTGTTAAACGGGCTTTGACCTTTCGTCTATGGAGTGTCAATGGTACAACAATGTTTGAAGAGTATACGAATATCAAATATATATATATATATATATATATATATATATATATATATATATATATATATATATATATATATATATATATTATATAACGCACTGTCGCAAGTATTGAACAGCCAGGAAGAATCGAACTAACTACATAGCATCTAAAACCGTTTTTCTAATATTATATCACTTCATATATCTTCCAAGGATGAACACACTTAACTATTATTAAGAGATTCATTCGAACCGTCTAAAGATCGTTTTCAGTAATGGTCACAGTAAATTCCTGTCACGTCGCTCTAGAATTGGCTTCCTGCAGTATAGTGACTCTCTTGGTTGGGTTTGATTTTTTTTTTTTCTTGTTCCTTTTTAGCTGTTGGTAGTTTTTATTGTAAGTGACAGACGTAATGGAGAGGAACACATTAAGTCGCGTCTGTTATCAGATATTTAGAAAATTGCCTCCTTACGAGCACGTCAAGATTGTTGAAAAAAAAATATATATATATATATATATATATATAATGTAAAAGTGAACATAGAAGTCAACACTTAGAGGCGATAGTCTGTTTCATGTTAGATGCAATCGTCAGGCCTGTCAATTGCATCTAGCATGAAACACTGACGATTGCATCTACCATAATACTGTCGCCTCTAAGTGTTGACTTCTATGTTCACTTTTATATTTACACACGCTCTCTGATATTGACGTCTTTATCCCATAAATATAGCAAATCTTAAGACTATATAAATGTATGACTCGATATTTGTCTCGATATTTCTGTCTGCATCCACGCTTTCATGCAACATCAGTTGGCATACTAAGCTACTCTCATCCGTCAACTATTTTACTTTCTCCTTCGCAAAGAATTCAATCGATAAATCCTTGTGGTCGTAGCTCCGGGTTAAATTGTTTCAATGTTTTAGATATTCAGTAAATTTTCTATGTCCTTCATAACTTTCAAATATTATGACACTTCACAATTATAATAATGAAAAACAGGGATGAAGCTTCAGACCTTCATTCAAGTGCAAACGCATGAACGCACCCTCCTCCTTTGCATGTTTACTGTAAATCTGGTGTTAATAAGGTTATTCGGGAATTTTTCACTTAGTTTCAATAATCTTTCTCAATCTTTGATGCAAAGCTTGTTCGAATGCCAATTTAGGATGGAGTCATGACGAAAGTATCTGCTATATTGCAAAAGTCGATTTTGGAAGGAGTTTGTCGCAGATTTCGTCTTAACTGAAATAATCTAAACCAAACTTTCATTTGGAAAGCATCGGAGGAAAAGCATGAGTTATGACCGAAAAACGGGCTTTTTGAATATTTTTGTTTCTTCATACGCGGGAAAGTGAGCATGAGTAAAATGATACTGTTATTTCTTGCATTATGTCTATTGTTTTGCGACATTTATTTTAAAATCTGTTTAAAAAAAATGAGGAAACTTTTTTTTTTAAATTGTAAGTACTACGAAAACCAGTTTTTTTTTGTTTGTTTTTTTTTTTTCGATTTTTGGTAACTTTTTGTGTGAAGTCTGTCACAGGGAAATCTATCAAGCACTCGACATAAACCTCTTAACATGAGCTTCGTTTTTCAATAAGTGCAAAGAACATCATCTGATCCAGTAAAAATTTTGTTCGCATGAAACCATGCCTTGTTTT